TTTATAAATTTTAATTATGTATTTATTTGTTTTAATTTGATGTAAACTGCCCAGAGTCCCCATTGGGGGGAGATGGGTGGGGATAAGTCTACTAAATAAATAAATAATCCATCCATCCTACCTGGGACAGGAAGATCTTGCTACAGTGACTCATGCCCTCATCACCAGCTGTTTAGACTACTGCAGTGTGCTCTACATGGGGCTGCTTTTGAACCTGCAGTTGGCTCAGAGTGCAGCGGTCCTTGTGCTGACTGAGGTTTGCAGATGGAAGCACATTATGCCAGTGCTATAAACCTTATACTGGTTGCCAACAGGCTTCCTGGTACAGTATAAAGTGCTGGAACTAACCCCCAAAGCACTACATGGCTTGGCACCTGGTTATCTGCAGGTATTCACCCTCTCATTGGAACTGGCCTGGCCAGTTCGATCTACCTGGGAGAAACTATTAGTAGTGCCAAAGTTCCAGGAGGTGAGGGGGACGGAGACTCGATGGTGCTGCTTTTCAGTGGCCATGTCTGTTGTTTGGAACGGCTGTTGTACACAGATAACTTGGTGAAGGAGTGAAGGAATGCAAAAACTGTTAAGAGAAACTACATGACAACTCAGTCCTGGGAAAGGAGAAGGCATAAGAAAGAAATTCAAAATAACTCTGTTTTGATTCTGCTTAGTATAAGAGGGGGCAGAGGGATATTCTGGCAGGCTTTTGAGATTCTGTTATTATACCCTACATCAGTAAAGTGGCATTCTTGAAATCCTGACCTGGCCTACCTCAAAGGGTTGACAGCTGCTTAGCATTTGAGCCTTGATTCAATCTTGGTTTGATTATAGTTTGGTTTGGTTAAGTTTATTCTATGTTGATTAGTTTGTGGATCTTTTATTTGTATACTTTTGTTTATTGTATATTATTTCTTATGTATCTTGTCTATGAACTGCTGAAAATTCTTAGGGATTTGGCAATTTGTAAATGTAATATATAATAATAATAATGGTCATTGTTTCAAGCTGTCATATAGTTTAAGTAAGAAACAGTATCAAGCTTTTAGCGCTATATTGAGGCACTCTACTTTAAACCAGTTGCAAATGTAATTACAGTCTTGTACTTTAACTTGGCTATATTTAATGCATTGTTAAATCTTAGTTATAGACATTGCACAAGGACAAACATTATGGATGTTTTTCAGGCTATATTATGAAACAAACTAGATTCCCCAATATGGGCATAACCCAATATGCCAATTTTAATTCCCAGAATTCCCTTTGAACTTTGCTTTTGATGGCAGTTCTGAATCAAAGCTGACACACTTGCAGGGCATCTACATTAAAGAAGACTGGCACAGAATTTTTAAAACATGCATATTTTGCTTGAGCAAAGTGGGTGACTATGTTCAATTCACTTTCAGGACACCTTTTGAACAGATGTAACTTTAAAAAAACAATGATGGTGTCATACAAGCTATTTGAAAATTATTTTGAAACATATTTATTTAATAATGCTGAGACGTATGCATACATTGTACATCCATATAGTTCTCTTGGCAACAGTACAGAAGTAGTTTGCCTTTGCCTTCTGGAATTTGTTTGTTTACTGCAGGGGTTCTCAAAGTACGGCCCACGGGCCGGATACGGCCCGCCAGGGTCATTTATCCAGCCTGCCTGCCTGATTGGCCGCCGCTGCTGTCTGTCAGAAGCGGAAGTGTTGGGGCTGTGTT